TTCTAAGTATTTACCCAGAGATTACAAAAATACTGATTCAAAGGGATATATGCACCTTACTGTTTATAGCAGCATTATATATACAATATCCAAATTATGAAAAAAGCCCAAATGTCCACCAACTGATGAATGGATAAAGAAGTATGTGTGTGTGTGTGTGTATAGTGTGTATGTGTGTTCGTATGTGTAGAAATTTTGCCATTTGCAATGACATAAATGGAATTAGAGAGTATTATGCTAAGTGAAATAAGTCAGAAAAACAAATACAATATGATTTCATTCATATGTGGAATTTAAGAAACAAAGCATACAAGCAAAGGGAAGAAAAATTAGAGAGAAAGAAAGTAACAAACAGATTCTTAATTATAGCAAACAATCTGATGTTTACTACATGAGAGGTGGGTGGGAGAATGACTTAAATAGGTGATGGGATTAAGGAGTACACTTGTAAGAACCAGGTGTTGTATGGAAGGGTCTTATCACTATATTATATACATGAAACCAATATTACCTGTAGGTTAATAAACAGGAATTAAAAAAAACTTGACAAAGCAATATGGAAGCCACCCCTATGTCCATCAGTAGATGAATGGAGTAAGAAGAATTGTATATATATATATGATAGAATATTGGTAAGCCATGAAAAAAGAATGAAAACTTACCATTTATCACAACACAAATGAACCTAGAGGATATAAAACTAAGTAAAATAAGTCAATCAGAGACAAATGCCATATGGTTTCACTCATAAGTGTCAAGAATCAAAACAAATGTACAAACAAGTAAAAAGAGAGACAAACAAACAACAACAACAACAACAAAACCCAGAATTTTATTTATTTATTTTTAATTTTATTTACTTATTTGACAGACAGAGATCACAAGTAGGCAGAGAGGCAGGCAGAGAGAGAGGAGGGGAAGCAGGCTCCCCGCTGAAGAGAGAGTCCCACGTGGGGCTCAATCCCAGGACCCTGGGATCATGACCTGAGCTGAAGGAGAGGCTTTAACCCACTGAGCCACCCAGGTGCCCCAAAACCCAGACTTTTAAATATAGAGAACAAACTGGTGGTTGCCAGAAGGGAGGTAGGAGAGGATGGGTTAAGTAGATAAAAGAGGATTAAGACTTTACTTATCTTGATGAGCACTAAGAAATATAGAATTATTGAATCATCATGTTGTATCCTTGAAACTAATGTGACATTGTATGTTAATTATACTGCAATTTTTAAAAGTACATGTTAAAATTTGGCATCCATACATTTTGGTCCCTACAAAGAAGAAATTAGAAAATTTTAGTCTCACACTTTTCCAAGACAGCTCTTCACTATTCCTTCCATTTCATATCTCGGTTAAGGAAGAGCTTTATTCCATTGTATAGCCGTTTACTATAAGTTTTGTTACTGTTGCTGGATGATTAAAAGGAAAGAATAATACTGACAAATTAACAACTGTTATATGTCAAGCATTATGCTAGGGTTTACATCAACTTCATTTAATACTCTGAATAATTCCATAGCTATTATCCTTATTTTAAGATGAGAAATTAAGCCTTAGAAAGGCTTATTTGCTGAAGGCCAGCCAGCAGGTCCAGACTGTAGCCCTCATCTGTCTGACTCTAAATCCACTCTATAGTATGCATATATTTCTCAATCTAGTTTAAGACAAATGACTTTTCCTTCCTTAATTTCTATAAATAGAAGAGCACCTCCTCAGAGTTGAAGAAATAAACTCAACCATAACAGAACAAAATAAGCAAGAGACTAAAGGGAAAATTGTTCATAGCAATTTCATTTGGGGCTTGAAACATTTTGTATCTCCATGATTTACCAAACTTGGATAAAGGCAATTCAGACAAAGGGAGATAGGACTTCACTCTAGAAGTAATTTTTAAGTTACATGAAAGATACCAAATAAGTGGCCTATAAATTCACAACTATGAGCTTAGCACAAATAAAAGGAAAGGGGAAATGATTAAAAAGCAAAGGCTATACTAGAAGAAAACTAAGGAAAAGTGGAACCAGTTCAGAGGGAATCCGTGAAGTCTATGGAGGAAAGGAGCCCTTAGCCAGGTCTCAGATTGGGTGGGACCCAGACAAGAAAATATATGACAGACACATTCCAGACTAAATCATGGAGGTGGAAATGAAGCTGTCTTGGGATCAGAGAAGAGATAGGCCTGTCTGTTAAAAATAAGGTGATAATGGGAACAGTGGAAATAAATAACAGTAAGTTTCATAGGGCTTTTTAAGTGCCAGGCACACCTCTAAGTGCTTTATATTAACTCACCTCGTTCTAGCAAAAATCCTGAAGCTTAGGCACAGTTAAACAATCTGCCCAAAATCACACAAATCACACAACACGTAGGGACACAACTGAGATTTAGAACCTATGAAGCATGATCCCAAAGTTTACTAACCACTACAATGAAATACTACAATGATACATTAGAAGATACATAGAAAATACATTAAAGAAATATATATTTAAGTGAAGAGGTATAGGTAGTCATTTTTTATGTAGTCGAAAATTGAGCTTTACAATGTAAGTTATGAAGAAGCAAATATATAGGAAATACAAGTAATACTAAGCAAAGCCCATAACTGGTCAAGATATATATATATATATATATATATATATATATATATATATATATATA